AACACAATTTGACAAAACAAATTATTATTCTCTATCTATGTTGTTACAATACAATCTATGATAATTTCACTTTAAAAAAGTATTCTTTACTCCTAAACTCACAATCTAGCTCTAGCTTTCTAACTAACTAACTGTCTAGCTTTGTCTTAGGTACTCGAACTACATTTTGTACGCGTATTTATAGCCTGACCAAGGCCTAGAACTTTCTACACATTACTACATATTATGATGTAATAATACTCGATTAAAAAGAACTAAAAAACTTAGAAGATTCTAGTAACATGACACAATAATACAAGCGCCAAATCACAACAATGGAACTACACAACGTATGATTCATACACAATTATATAGACATTTATTTTTTATTTGGTTTTTTAGCTACACAATGGGCTATCTGTGCTACCCTTGGGCCACTGGGAGCTAGACAAACCTGCGATAAACTATCACTTCTAAACAGAACTAAATTTAACACTCGCATTAAACTTAAACAATCGTGTATAGCTAACAGTATTGTATTTATATCAAATAACTTTTTGCTTTTCTAATTGCTGATCACCAACAATGCTTTTATTGCAACATTATCAAGCAACACTTTACTTGCTGATCACCAACAATGTTTTTATTGCAACATTATCAAACAACACTTTACTTGCTGATCACCAACAATGTTTTTATTGCAACATTATCAAACAACACTTTACTTGCTGATCACCAACAATACAAATAGCGAGAACGCTGCTTGGGTATACAGGTCTCTTGGAGCAACAATATTTTACATAAAGCTGATGGAACATTCAAGCTTCCCCCAAGCAGCACAAGGATGGAACTAGAAGCGGACTAGAACTATGTCTGCGGACTTACAACGCTAGAAACCGGGTTTCGATACCCGTGGTGGTCAGAGCACAGACAGCCTATTGTGTAGCTTTGGGCTTAACTTCAAACAAACAAACCACGAGGTTGCCCCTCCTCCCAGTGGCACAGCGGTATGTCTGCGGACTTACAATGCTAGAAACCGGGTTTCGATACCCGTGGTGGTCAGAGCACAGACAGCCTATTGTGTTGCTTTGGGCTTAACTTCAAAACAAACAAACAATACAATATTTTCCGTCCACTAAAAAACAATTTATATTTGAACTACATAAAGTTACATTATCCTCTCCTGTTTACCAATAACTCAAAAATGGTTTTATCGTAACAATACTAAATTACACTTGGCTTATCTCTTTATTGTTCAACAATAACAGTTTACGTTGTAACAATATTAAACGTTTTGTTCTTGTAACTGCACTAAACCACCAGGGGTTTGCCGTATAATTAACATTTTTTTAATACTATTTGCAGTCCAGTTACAAGTGTTGGTTTGCTAAAGGCCTGTGGGATGATATTCGTAGAAGAGCCTCTCATTACGCCAGTGATTACAAAGACGGTACGTAAAAACTGGACAAAACGTAATTTCAAACTGTATGGTGGGTGTAGAATGAAAAGTTATTTATCTACCATACGTAAAAACCAGTATTTATATTATTTTTCATTACAAAAAATGTATCACCCAAGTTATTTTTTTTTTTTGGACTCCAAATACAGAATTTCAGTTATCTCTCAGTTCACTGATAATTAAAATATGCTCCAATTGGGATTGAAATTGACTGTATATTAAGACAGATTTTTTTATTTTATTTTAACGTGCTTTTACCCTGTAGCACTCTTATGGAAGAACGTCTAATACTCGAGTGATATTAAATTGCTCTATTCATTTTGTATTGGTTTTGTATATACTGCCCACTGTCCATTTTAAACCTTACTTTCTTCTTTCCAGGAGTGAGAGGCCATAAGACAATCCATAAGACAGTGTCAACGACATTCTTCTTATATTTTGCTTGCATTCTTCCAACGATTGCTTTTGGAGCCCTGAATGATAATAACACAAACGGGAAGATTGGTAAGATTTTAGTTAATGGCAGATTTCTAAGGTGTTAGTTTATTGGTATGCTTCATCCACTTTTTACTTGCGTAAAGAAGGCTGAAGCAAAGATAAGAGTTTAATCAGTGAGCAATATGAAGAAATTCACATCTCGAATGATAAGTTACTTGTTACTACACTGGATCTAGCATTTCAATTGTTTGTTACTACACTGGATCTAGCATTTGAGTTGTTTGTTACTACACTGGATCTAGCATTTGAGTTGTTTGTTACTACACTGGATCTAGCATTTCAATTGTTTGTTACTACACTGGATCTAGCATTTCAATTGTTTGTTACTACACTGGATCTAGCATTTCAATTGTATGTTACTACACTGGATCTAGTATTTCAATTGTTTGTTTCTACCTGGATCTAGCATTTCAATTGTTACTACACTGGATCTAGTATTTCAATTGTTTGTTACTACACTGGATCTAGTATTTCAATTGTTTGTTTCTACACTGGATCTAGTATTGCAATTGTTTGTTACTACACTTCCAGTGTAGTAACAAACAACAAACAATTGAAATACTAGATTTATTGAATTACTAGATCCAGTGTAGTAACAAACAATTGAAATACTAGATCCAGTGTAGTAATTGTTACTACACTGGATCTAGTATTTAAATTATTTGTTAACACATTCCATGTATTATTTCATTTATTTGTTATTACACTACACTTTTAATAGTTTAAGTTACAAATTGTAGTGTGTTCCTTTCTTACGTCACTGTTAAGATGCTAAGTATCTGACGACTGCATTTTTCTGTACCTCAATGTTAATATGTTTCATATCAGTCTGTTCTGGGTTTCACTGTTACCTGACTATCAAGATGTTTAGTATCAGACTGTATTGTATTTTTCTTTAAAATACTTAGTGGTGTAATGTTCTGTACTTTTCTACGTCAGTATCAATAAACCTTCATGCCAAATTTGATGAAGATCCATTTACAGAGAGCGAGATAGTGGTAAAAAACGCCCATAAAACCGAAAAACTGAAAATTTGTATGTATTAGGTCGTCAAGAAATTAGTGTCACATTTTTTTTAGATGAAAAAACCCGAACAACTTATATATCAAAACAAAACATATATTAAATTAAATGGTCTCCAT